GACACCGTTCCCCGGCAACGGCGCCATTTTGACGAGGGGAAAACTAGGTCGTTATCTAATCTTCCCTCGGTCAAACTAAATTTATAAACACTTAACAAACCTAAATACGAGTATAGAGGCAAGTCAAGGGTCGAACCCAAAGGAACGGTAATGTTCAAGCACTTTCAATTATGCGCCTAAGCTAGGTCGAAGACGAAGGTAAGAGAGAATACTAACAACTAACAAAACAAGTAACCAAGGAAATAAAACACTAGGAACGGGGATCAACAAGTAATCATGTCAATTGCAACAACTTGGGAAGAGCATGCCAATCAAAGGTTGTGAGGACTAAATGATAAGAGCAATCAATAGGAATCAAAGAGCTATCTCCTAATAGTTAAGCTAGGGTTCACTATGAATAACAAACTAAGAGAATCACAATCAAAACCAATTGATAATTGCAATTCCTAAATCAATTGTTCATGTCATTAGCAATTACAATGCAATCTAGCATAATTCTCAAGGCCTAATTGAATTACACACATGCAAACCTTCTTAAATCACTTTAATATCAACAATTAATCAACACAATTCCAAAATTAATCACAATTAATCAATCATACAAGTTTCACCCAATTCCTAGCCAACAACTACTCAAACAACATCATCAAATAAACTATCAACTATAGAGAACAAGAATCAACAAAATATCAAGAACAATTACTCTAATCAAACATCAACTATCAAAATCAAACCAAACAAACATCAAATTAAACAAAGCAATTGAATGAGATAGATCTCCAACACAATTGTCACACTTGCATATTCAATCTCTCAATAACCATTGAAATTCCTCACTTTCTCTCTCTAAAACTACTCCTAATCTAGCCTAATCTAGAGAGAGAAGCTCTGAGCCTAAGAGAGATAAAACTATTCTAAAACTAAAGAATTACATGAATGAAGAATAAAGGAAACCAAAAACTATATAAACAAAAGAAGAAAAGAAGCTTAAAATCGTAAAAGACCTAAAAACCCGCGCCCGCCGAGAAATTGGCCGCGCCCGGGAGGGGAACGGACACCCCGATAGCCGCGCCCGTGGGGCCAAGGCTTGCGCCGTCGGGGAACCCTCGGGACAAAACGCGGGTGCTTACTGCCCAAATACGGCAGTTTTGGAGCTGCAGCAACCCCGCACCCGCGGGTAATGTAGCCCGCGCCCGCGACAGTTTTCCAAGGCCAACTTTAGAAGGCTGTAACTTCCGATCTAAGAATTGTATGAAGGCGTTCAACCTATAATTGGAAATCTCTTCAAGTCTAGTTTCTAACCCAACTTGAATCACCCTAATCCGATCTGTAGAACTTGAGATATGACTAAAACAACGCACAAAGGTCCTATTTGATACTTTGCAATCCTTCGTTTTCCTTTGTTTCAAACTCAAATTCAATTCCGAAAAGTGCATATTGACCCTAGTGGGTGCTATTTTCAATTCCCATGCATATATCCCGCGACGTACCTACAAAATAAGACAAAGAAATGGAGAAGCAAGTGAAATAGCCGAGAAATTAATAAAATGATAAGAAAGCCATTAAAAGCATGCATTTCTCTAAACTAACACAAAAACACGCGAATCGAGCATTATTCTCTAAAAACACGACATAAACGACTACAAAGGAGCATAGAAATATAAAGAAAACATAGCCTAAAGGTGCCATAAATGGTACGGATCAATAAGTCGGAGTCGTCAAAGAAATATATTATGGAATTAGAATCCATTTTCGGTTTATCGGTAAGGAAAACAGGATCACAATACAGTGTTTCATTCGAAGGGCGAAATTTTAAGCTTTGTGGAGTAATATTTCCAATCTGTTATTTTGCTAGATTTGAATATACGGACTTGGGGGAAAATGACTATCCTACAGGTAGTGCAGCTTCTACTAGCTCTTCCCTTTACACAATTTCATCACCTGAACAATATTTGCAACGTGATACCCAAAAACCAAGTTAGCTGATTTTATTCACAAGCACTAATCACGTAGGAATTACATTGCAAAAGTCATTATTCTTATTTATTCAATATTCGTTAAAAAGGACAAGAAATATACAATATTTGCCTTGTCTTAAGTGATCAAACAACAATTAATTGTTCAATTCTATTCTTTATTCACTACAAGAAATTGGCTGATTTCCGACTAAATTGTTTCGGACATGAAATTTCGTCGGAAACATTGGAATTTTCGCAGGATTTTTATATAGTCGGTTATTTCTGACGAAATTTGACAATCTGTTGGAAATTTATCGGTATTACACTTTCCGATGGAAAATTCCTTCCAAAAGTTAAATTTCCGACGAAATTAACGAAATTAAACTCCGTCGGATATATATATATATATATATATACATATATATACATACATATACATATACATATACATATACATATACATATATATTTTTTTTTTGTTTTTTTTTTAAATAATTTTAGTTGTTGGCTGGTTGGTGTGATTGTGGTGTCTTGTATGGTGGCTTGGTGTCGTGGTGGTTTGATGTTTTTGTCGGATCTGGTGGTTTGGTGTCGTGGTGGTTTGGTCGGATGTGGTGGCTTTTATGGGTCAGTCTTTGTGTTAGAAGGTTAGGAGGGTGGGTCGATTTTAGGGTTACATGGGTGGGTCGAGTATGGAGGGTGGGTCGATTTTAGAGTTAGGTGGGTGGGTCGATTTTAGAGTTAGGTGGGTGGGTCGGTTTTAGGGTGTGTGATTTTGGTTAGGGTGGTTTGGGAGTGTGAGTTTCGGTCGGTTAGTGATGTGTGTCATTTATGGCATTCATTTGGCTTCTATTAGGATGATTTTACATGGTTTTGTATCTCTTTTTACTCTATTTTCTCCAGTTTTACTTACATTTTCCTTAATTTGCTATTTCCTTAGAAGTTTTCTTAATTTCTTGCTTTTCTAGTAAATTTTGCACTTTCGTCTTTACTTGTTTGATTTTCTTTGTCTATAGGAAGTTCGCGATGTTTGAGAATCTCAAGTGTATTCTCATTTGAGTTTTCAAGTCAAGAGAGAGGTCTCGTTTCTCCATTAGAAGCCTAAAAGCAAACGAGTTCAAGAGCTTGGTCATTTATTTTGCGCTTTCATGCCGTGTGGACATGAAGGAGTGGTGTCGAACCCACCAAGAAGTGCTAAATTTACTACCTATTGCATCATTGCTCATCCGGAGCTCACAAGGACAAGCTCGGCCTCACCAAGGGGCCTCCCCATTTCCAGCTGCACGGGCGCGCGCAAGAGAGGAGCGGCCGCGCCACGCCTATGTGCGGTCGTGCCCCTTCTTTCTACCAGCTCCGTACCCTTTTTGCAGCGGCCGCGCATAGTTGTGAGGGGCTGCGCTCTTTGAGGTTATTCTTGGAACGTCTAACTAACTTCCTTACAGTTAGCTTTGCTACAAATAGAATTAGCTAGATTTTTTAGAGAAGTTTTTAGGGAGGAAATAATTAGAATTAGATTTTGATTAGATTTTTAGAGAGAGAAACTATTTCTTAGATTTTAGAGAAAGAAGCTTGATAATTGATGATTGTGCTATTGAGATCTTCGTACCACTTTGACATTGATCAAAGTTTTGTATGAATTCTTTACTTTTCAATGCAAATTGATGTCTGATTTTGTTATATTGTTGAATTTCTATTGTTTAGCTTGAATTTGATTGTTGAAGTTAGATTACAATGTTGATGATTATATTTATGATTTCTTTTGTATATTATTTCAATTTCACCATGCTTAGTGAGTATTTGATTTGCTAGGGAATGTGGTGAAGCATGTTTTGGTGATAATCTAATGCTAATTTAGGCCTTTTGATTTAATTGTTGATGTTATTAAATTGGTTAATGAAACTTGTGCATGTGCTTGGTTTGAAAAGGAGTAGCTAATCTTTAGGAACATGCTAGATTGCATAATTTCCTTCAGTGACACGAACAATTAATTTGAGTGCTATTATTATCGTTTAATCACGATTTGTGATTTTTATATTGAAGTCATTCGTAGAGAAATCTAGCTTGTCCATAGGAAATAGCCTTTTGAGTGATTATGATTGCTTGTTGTATTTTCCTTCGCATCGTTTTGTTGATTGAATCCTCCCGAATTAGCAAGATTGTTAGCAAGCATGTGGATCCTAAGTTCCCTAGGGAAGGCATGGTGATTTTTATTGTTGTTTGAGTCTATTCTATTTATTTGAAAAATAAAAAAATATTTCTCTTCCTTTTAGGTTACATTTGTAGTCGTGCTATTGATATTTGCGTCGAGTTTTTGTATGCGTATGGCAATAGGACGAACTCTAGTGCCATTTTATCTAGAAATTGAGAGAACCATAACAAGGATAAGGGTTGCTAATCGTTCTTTAAGTCCAAGCTCTCTAAGAGAGGAAATTCATCAAGAAAGAGAAGAAGAAGATTGAGAAAGCATGGGAGCTAATCCAAGAGTAGCATTGAAGGAGTTGGGAACCCCCGGAGCATATAGATATGAAAGTGGGATTGCTCCACCAATGACATCGGCAAATGATTTCGAGATATGGCCGACAATGATCACTTTGATTGAGAGGCGATAATATAGTGATTCTAAGCATGAGAGCCCTCTCAATAACCTTAAAGAATTCAAGAAATATTGGAATTCAATCAAGGTGAACGAGGTTTCTCAAGAATTCATCCCCCTAACGTTTTTCCCTTCTCACTTATTAGGCGTGCTTTAGAATGGTTGGAAAAGGAGGTGAAGCCTAATTCTTTGAGGACTTAGGGTGAAGTAACAAAGGAATTCCTATTCTGTTTCTACCCCCAAAAGAAAACGGCAGAGGCGAGATCCCTCATTCAAAGTTTTGAACAAAAGCCGAGCGAGAGTCTTTATAAGGCATGCAAATGTACAAGGAGTAACAACGAGAATGTCCTCATCATGGGATTCTAACATACCAAATCATTCAAATTTTCTATGGAGGATTGAGTCCTCAAGGAAAATCTTATTTGGATGCCGGTGCCGGTGTCCCTATCATGAATAAGACGGAGGAAGAAGTTGTGTATCTAATTGAGGATGTGGTGAGATACCATATGGATTGGCAAGAAGGTGAGAGAGACTCGACGAGTAAGAGTGGTTCAACGGTCTATTCAATCGACCATCTCAATGCCATCAATAACTTATCCTCACAAATTTCAAATTTAGGAAAGGAGATGACTTTAATAAACGAAAAACTTGAGAGTACTTCCTCACAAGCACCTATTCTTCCCTGCCAAAGTAAGAGGAGAGGTACATCTTCTAACTCTACTCCTCTTTTAAGTTTAAATAATATGCCAAGTGGATGTGTGTAATGCGATGTTTGTGAGTCTTATGACCATGATTCTTTAAGTTGTACTCATGCATTTTAGAGTTGTGATGAAGGTGAGAGCAATGATTGTGAGAAAGTGAACTTTGTTTCCAATAACAAAATTGGACCAAGGTTTGATGGTCCACGTCAATTTGGGAATAGAAATGCTCTCTAAGAAGGGAATTTGGACAATTATAACAATGGTTGCCATAGAAACCAAGGAAACCAAAATTTCCACGGTAACTATAGCAATCAAGGTTATAATAATCAAATTCAAGGTCAATACAAAAATCGGGGTAATTGGAATAATCAAAATCGGGGGATTATTCAAAACAACAACCAAAGGGGACCCCAACTAGGATTTGCTCCAAAGACCCAAGGAAATGGTGAGAATTTCTATGCTTAACCTTAAAATTCCAAGACTACTTTGGAAGAGATCATCGAGAACCAAACCAAGATTTTGAACACTTACATGTCGGTGAGTGACAAAAAGTTTAATGAAATGATGACACACAATAAATTGCTTGAAACTTAAATCTCTCAATTAGCTAACACTTTGAAAGAGAGTGTAAACACAAGCCCTTCTTCTTTACACTCACAAGAAGTTGAACCTAAGAAACCCGTGTATTCCATCACCACAAAGAGTGGGAAAGTGCTTGATGAGAGAGTTTCTAGGGAGAGTGAGGAAGATGAGAGGATGAGTGATTCATGTGAGGAAAAAGAGAATAATGTGTTAAAAAGTGTGACCAAGGAGGAAGTTCAAGAGAAAAAGAAGAGTGATGAGTCTAGCAAGGTGAGTGAGAATTCTAATGAGAAGAGTGTTGAGAAAGAGAGGAAACAAGATGAAGATTTTAAACCAAGACTTCCATATCCCCAAAAATTCAATGCTTACAAGTTGGATGAACAATTTGGGAGATTTATTGATATGCTAAGGAAAATCCATCGTTCTATTCCTTTCACCGATGTTTTGGGAGAAATGCCTAACTATTCTAAGTTTCTCAAGGAAATCTTGAACGGTAAGAGAAATTGCAATGCGAATAAACCGGTGAGTTTAGGTGAGTGTTTTAGTGCTTTTATCCATAATGACTTACTCCCAAAGATGAAAGATCCAAAAAATTTCTCCATTCCTTGCAATATTAATGGGAAATTGTTTCAAAATGCCCTTTGTGATGTTGGTGCTAGTGTTAGCATCAAGCCTTACTCCATTTTCAATAAACTTAAATTAGGTTAGCTTCTTGCAACCAACATGACCGTTCAATTGGCCGATCGTTCTATTAAGTTCCCAAAATGTAGAATCGAGGATGTGCTCCTCAAAATAGGAGAGTTCACTATTCCCATCGATTTCATTGTGCTTGAGATTGAGGAAGATGACAACATTCCTATCATTTTAAAGTGTCCATTCTTAGAAACTTTGGGTGCTTTAATAGATGTGAAAAGTGGCATGATTACTCTATGTGTTGGTGATAGAAAGGCAGGTTTTAAGCTCAACATAATGCATGAGTCTTTATTCTATCACTAGGCGAAAAATGCAAATGGCCACCGGTTGAAAACCCCCCATTGCCACCGGTTTTGAACCAGTGGTAATTTGGGGGGTGGCAATAATGCATCAAATGGCCACCGGTTCAAAACCGGTGGAAATAGTGTTAATGGCCACCGGTTAACCGGTGGTAATACTAATTATGGCCACCGGTTAACCGGTGGCAATAATAAATTGGCGCGGTTTTTTTGCTGCTGAATGATGACTATTGAACCGGTTCGAACTGGTAAACCGGTGGCAATAAAAGGTTCTAAATTTTTTTTTTTTGGCCTGAAATTATTCCTGCAATTCATCCTGCAACCGATCCAGCTAAAATATTCTGCCATATTATTGCTAAAAATTCAATAATCAAAACAAGAATTTAAAATATATTTTTAGACTACTTTTATAATTAAAAACCAAATGCAATACAACAAATTAAATAAAGTGTGATATATAAATAAATACAAATAATACTAATAACTAGTCAATATTGTAGTTTAAAAGTTAATAATAAACAAAGTATAATTCATAATGATGCCACATTTACAAATGGAAGGTGATGAAAGATGCCAACATGTCTCGAACTTCATTAAGCTCCTTGCTAGTTAACGGATCCCCCTTTTGCACCTTGCAAAACTTGAAATATATATAAATTATGTTAGAATAAATTAAATTATTATGTAAAAAATTAAATATTTGGGAAAATTAAAAACAGTCGCATGAATAAATGACCAAAATAGCCAAAATAAGGCCTATTTGACTTCTACTTGCCCATTTTCTACGTTTTTAAACAAATGACCAAGTTGTTTCTCATAACATGTCAATTATACTTAGTTATAGGTGGATAAGCCTAGAAATCAAAGAAAAAGGGCATTTTACTAAGTTTAAGGTCGCATTTTCATCCAAAATAGCCAAAATTAGGCATATTTGACTTCTACTTGCCCATTTTCTATATTTTTCAACAAATGACCAATTTCTTCATCAAAACATGTCAATTATACTTATTTATAAGTGGCTAAGCCTAGAAATCAAAGAAAAAGGGCATTTTACTAAGTTTAAGGTCGCATTTTCATCCAAAATAGCCAAAATAAGGCCTATTTGACTTCTACTTGCCCATTTTCTACATTTTTCAACAAATGACCAAGTTCTTCCTCATAACATGTCAATTATACTTAGTTATAAGTTGCTAAGCTTTGAAATAAAATAAAAAGGGCATTTTACGAAGTTTAAGGTCGCATTTTCATCCAAAATAGCCAAAATAAGGCCTATTTGAATTCTACTTGCCCATTTTCTACGTTTTTAAACAAATGACCAATTTGTATCACATTAAATGTCAATTATACTTAATTATAGGTTGCTAAGCCTTGAAATCAAAGAAAAAGGGCATTTTACTAAGTTTAAGGTCGCATTTTCATCCAAAATAGCCAAAATAAGGCCTATTTGACTTCTACTTGCCCATTTTCTACATTTTTATACAAATGACCAAGTTCTTCCTCATAACATGTCAATTTTACATAGTTATAGGTGGCTAAGCCTTCAAATCAAAGAAAAAGGGAATTTAGTAAGATTAAGGTCGCATTTTCATCTAAAATAGCCAAAATAAGGCCTATTTGACTTCTACTTGCCCATTTTCTACATTTTTCAACAAATGACCAAGTTCTTCCTCATAACATGTCAATTATAATTAGTTATAAGTGGCTAAGACTTGAAATCACATAATAAGGGCATTTTACTAAGTTTAAGGTCGTACCTCATCAAGATGTATGGTGTTGGAACAATGAGTCGCTATCTCAAGCATGAATCTCATCACGTATAATCCACAATCAACTCCATTATCTTGTTGTGTGCACTAGCATAGGATAAAATCAAATGAATCAAACATCACATAAAACCCACAATTGTTTTAGCAATGTTTATGAATATAATCACAATATGATGTGGCATTACCATAGGTGATTTCCATGTAGGACCCCGAGGAGCACGACCATGTATCTTCTTCATAATACTATAGGAAAGTAAAATCAAATTTGATTAGTTTGACTACTAAATGAGTTAGGTTAAGATACTCAACACTAGGTAGCTATATTTACTTTTTTAGTACATACATCACGAGGTACTTCTTTGTTGATCGAGCTGAATCAAGGTGAAAGATTGTGTTATTAGCAGGAGAAATCACCATGAGGAACCAATGATACCTACATAAATTCACAATACACAAACACATCAATAATTAGGGTACAACAAATAAATCAGATGTAGAAAGAATTGAATTACACATGGTTAAACGTACTCCTCATAACATGGGGCGAATATGAACTTGTCTCCCGCACGCATTGATTCCCGAATATTATGGTTAACATAATACATCACCTCGGGGGAGTTGTGTAAGATTCTAGTCTCGGATGTCTGTTCGGGGCATAACCACCCAACTTTACTAGGTGAATCAGTGTCACTTAAGTGCTCCCGTAAATCTCTACGTGCATGTGCAATGAAAAATTAATTGACATATATGAAGGATAAACAACACTAATATATACAACAAATTAATTTAAGTGGCATGAGCCCGTACCTCATGAATATTTGAATGAGAGAAATGTTAAGCATTGAACCTCTTAAAAATTCCTTCACATCTTGTTTGTTTAACCATGCACTTGCATCCTCATCATAATGGAACATTGCCTTAGGAAGTGCAATTTCAATGGGATCGTCACTAGGAAAATGACTAAAACGATTGTGTAGAAAAGTTAAATCCTTAGTGAGCGATTGAAGGACATTGTCTCCAACAAGTGGTGTGCATGGCTGAACCTTTCGAAGAACTCTTCTTCGACACTTGTTCATTCTTCGACCCTTGTTCACTCATCTTCTTTATAAGTTGATCAACGCTTTTAGACTTCACCACCTTCCTTCTCTTTGATGGTTGACTTTTTTTCGAAATCTGATCAAAACAAAGATACTTAGAGTTAAAAATTTTTGGCCGGGGTTTAAGCTAATAAGTACGCATCAAGATTTGTTATTATGCACAACATCAAAATAAATATTACTTCGTTGATCAACCTCACCCAAGCACGTGGCCATTGCACATAGCTACCCTTTGCTTCCCAAAGAAGAGTAATCCAATCTTCCACTATAGGCACCGGTAGTGGGATGTTTTCAAACCCAGCAATGTAAGAATTTATCCCGACCGAGTAATGTTGTGGCCAAAGCGATTGGAAATGGACCGTATCACCAGTCGTTGCTTGTGCACTACCATACGCCACCAACTGCAACTCTCCTCCATTTGATAGCCCCGGGGCTAGAAGTGTACACTCGGTCTCTACCTACACCAATAACGAAATTCACTTGTAAAAACTGAAATTATCAAAAAGGGTCTTTTCCTACACAATTGATCATGTAACGAAATTCACTATGTTAAAACCAAACACGCTCCCTCGAATCCTAAATTCACCTCTAAATCTGGAAATTCATGGGGTGTTGGATTATCAACCTCCCTCGAGTCCGCATGTCTGGGAGTAACAACCTGCAATAATTAATCAATAATGCCACATTAGATCTCACGTAACTCACAAGCTAGGCCAAAACTAATAGATATAAAACTACCTCATGTATCTCCTCTTCTCCTTGTCCTTTTGGGTGACTAATGGAGTCGACCGGTGTTTTCGAGGGGAACGACAAGGGTAAGTTCATTTTCTTCGCCCAAGCATTGAACTCACCTATTAACTCATTGCGAACTTGTTCCTTGATGGATGCCACCTTGGCATCCAATTCTTCCGGTGAGTTAACACTTCCTCGAGATCTTCCCTTTTTTGTGTATTCTGACCCATCACCTTCTCCCATCCTAGCAACGTACCTCCCATACCTACTACCCGACCTGGATGGTAGGGCTTTCCCAAAGCCAAGGTGAAGGGGTCTTTCTCTATAGTCGGGTCCAGCTTGCCTTCAACAACTTCTGTAGTGTACTCAAGCTATAGCATAAGAAAAAATGTTAATATGAATACATAAAATGTTTTTGTATGGTAAAGTTATGCTAAAGTTTCAAATAGCTTACAAGTTTATCCGCCACTTTTTTTTCTGGTTCCTTTATGACCCATTTTCCGGTGTCCTTATCAAAGGTATGTAGGGAACAAATGAAATCGCCAGCACGACTAACCAACATAGTGATAGTGGAGTTGGAGGGTTCTGAGGATGACCCTTGAGTCAAAGCGGGGTATATACCCTCCTTCTTCCAAGTTTTCCTCCATTCACCAAATGTCTTGGCCCCCGTACTATGGCGGTACTCCTTCTTCAATGAATTTTCCTTGTTTTGCTCTCGAATTTACTACATAAATAGTAATGTTAGCATCATTACTGCAAAAAGAGTCAATATGTTATACAATTCTCATTAGATTTAGTAGTTCTTACAATTGCTTTGGGTCGAGTTCTTTGAATAACAAAGTCTTTCCACTCGTCCTCCGTCACACATGGCCATTTTTTACACGGTGGGTCTTGTTCCTCAACATCTTCCTCATTTCCACCTTCATCTTCATTTCCCTTGGAAGCTTTCTTCTTGTGTTTCTTTTTCTTATAAATCCATCCACTGGTCAAGTGGGTCTTGAAGCCTCTGAATCTCTCCGCTAGTAAAGAATCAAACACTCTTCTCTTCTGGGGATCATTAGGAATACTAAACAGCTTATGCAATCACAAATACAAGCCATTATTATTTTCCATAACATTAG